ATTAAAAAGTGATTAACTGATTTCTATTTTGTCTATTTTTTCTATTTTTTTTTATCTTTTCTATACAGTCTATTTATTTTATTTATTCTATTTTGTTTGTAATTCTTTAATATCTGTAATTTATTTTATTTCTTTTTATTATCTTTATAGTTTATTTTATTTTATTATTTTATTACATTTAAATATATTTTTATTATAACAAATATCTATATTTAATTAGTTATAGTATAGTAATTAGTTAGTTATAACAAATTATTTTTGTATAAATAGAATAATTTTTTGCTCAAATTGTAAATTAATTCTTAGGCAAATTTTAAAACTTTTAAGTTATTTAATAAAGGAATTAATTTAAAATTATAAATTATTTTTCTCTTTAATATTATTCCTTGCCTAATATTTGATTGTGATATCTTATACTAACTTGATTTTGAATTTGTCATTAAGTTTAACAAAATAATTCTTAAATTCTAAGATGCAATTTATTGTTAAATTGATTCAAGTATGATGAATACTTGTAGAACTTAGAAAATATTCTAAAATTATAAACTCTAATGAGTAAAATTAATTGTTACAACTTCTTTAACTTAAAAATTAAGATAACTAAAACTGAATCCAATAATAATTATAAATAAAACCTTTTATTTATGATTTATTATTTTTAATTTAATTATAATAGCAAAAAACTTGTATTATAAATTTAGGTTTTAAATAAAAATTAATTTTACTATAAAATATTATATAATTTAATTTTAATTATAAGAAAATCAATAACTTTAACTTAATCTTTATAAGGTATTTTTTAACTTTTTATATACAATTTTTACTTTATTAAGATTGTTCTAAATCTTAATTTTTTTATTAACATACTTAATATTCTTAATTTGATACATTCAATTACTATTTAAATTATATATTATTTTAAGAGTTACAATATAAGAATATATCTGCAAAGTTTGCAAAGTTTAGATAAATATTATTTTTCGATAAAGAGAGGGAGTTATAATAATCTTTTTTATAGGTTATAAAATAATTTATGTTTAATGGCTTTAAAAAATTTTTAACATCTATTGAACTTATTAGATTAAATAGATTATTTTTTTAGTAATACCTGACCAATTAGAATGATTTATTTTCTGTATGCTTAAATTTAAGATAAACCTATGGTAAAAATATCAAAAATTTGAGATGATTTGAGAAAGTCATTAGAGCACATTTTTCATCTTTAATTATACTAATTGACAAAATCTTTGTTGAGTATAAAAAACTTTCGCTGCGCCCATCTCATCGCAGGTGTCTAGTTAAGAACAATATTTTTTAATTGTTACCGAGATCTCTCAAATATTCACTAATTGCTTGATATAGTAGCCATTTGTAAGGTGCTTCGTTGTTGACTAAAGAATTTTCATCATAATTGGCCACCAGCTTCACATGCTTGAATTCGTTGTTCATGAGCATTTCAATTATTATAGGTGCCAGTCCCACAGACTTTTCTTCAGCAACGATATACAGTTTCCAACGTTCTTCTTTTATCAGATCTGCAATTTAAAAAACTTCATAAGAGAAGGAATATTCGATATTGTAAGTCACAATCAAAGCTTACCACCAGTAACTGCGAATTGTTCAACGAGAACATGAATGTTGCGCTTTCTACAACGCCATTAAAAGTTATTCCAACCATTTCTGTTGCGCCATCTAGCTCCTTGACGAAAATATTATAATAACTTTGAAAACGACTTTATGTTTTCGATCATAGCACCAAGTGTAATAAGGATGTATCGTGAAATACTAATGTAGACATTATTGGTAATTCAAAAAAATAAGAAATAATCCAGATTTCGTATAAGCGGTTTTTTATTTTTATTTTATTTTATTTTATATTTTTTTTTTTTTTTTGCAGAAGGGCACCTTTAGCGCTCCCAGAACACATATATAAATATATATATTTCTTTTGTGGGCCAATATTTTCACATTTTTAATAATTTTGTGTTAAAAATGAACCCTGTTAAACTCATCAATATAAAAGGAAAAAATATAAGATAAAGCCAAAAATAAAAAGAAAAACCTTTAAATTTTTTATCTTAACAATTTTTCGGTAAAACTTTATGCGATATTTGCATATTTTTTTATTTAATGAGAATAAAAGGTTTGTCCAAATTTTCCAGCGGAACTATGAATTTTTTGAAATTCGAACAAATAAATAGTTTATCAGTTAATTAATCTAATAGAGTGTATACAAGTAACGATTAAAAAAAAGAAAGACTTAACATCCGATTTTATTCACTATTTTCTTCCGACATTCTTGTGATTATATTCAAGTCACAATTAAGGGTTATGTCATAATAAATTTAACTAATCCATATAACCCATTCTGGATTGCAAAATAAATGATTAGAAATCAATATCGTAAAAAAAAAAAAATAGATGTTGTAATATCTTAAATCTATTGAACAAACAAAGAAAAAAAAAATGGTTATGATTTCCTTAAATTGTTCTGGTGACTTTAATAAACCGTAAATGTAATAGCATTAATCAGTTAAATTGCAGTATAGATCAACTAATTTAGTTAAAAAATTAGGATTAATGTGACAAATTAGTAATTTGATTAACTAAATCAAGATAGAATTTAAAAGAACCGCTCGGGACAAAAAAGTATTAAGGATCTCTAAATAAATAAAAAATTCACAACTCTCAAACTACCCAATTGCATACGCTACTTCCCTTTATTACTTCTCTTTGGAGGCTTCTTCTGCTTCCTCTCCTATCAACAGCTTCAAGAGCATTCCTGCTAGAACGATAATTGACATTAACACGTTTTTGCCGAGTGAGATGCATCGACCTTCGAGGTATGAATCCTTTTAATGAGCTCACAACTTTAGTTGATAAGGCGACATGTTGTAATAATTTCAGATGTTCATTTAGAAATTTTGGTTTTATATTCTTTCAAATGTAAATGCCATCTTTGAGAGCGACCGATTCTGTGGTACTAATGTAATCTCGATATTTTGAATAAATTATCCTCATAAATTGAAAAAGTTTATTAAATAAGGTAAAAAACTTACCATACTTTCTCAAAATGATAATAACCTTTCGAGGTAGGAGTATCTTCGACAACACGATTACTTCCAAACATGACAAAATCCGCTCGGGAAGTTGATTTGCGATCCATTAATAACAAACGGAAAATTTGCGCTTTGTCTCTTGAACACCATTATTATAGTATTTACCGTCGTGGTGGTGGTATCAGAGCAACTGTCTATATTATTCCTTGTTAATAATGTGGTTCTCGTTGAAAAATCTGATATTGATTCCGGTTGAGTAATGTTCGGGTGAGTTTCTTCAAAAACAAATGGTGTTGGTGAACTAAGGATTACAGGAGACGCTTCCGTTAGTGAAATTGATGATTCCGAAGTCTTTGCAAGAAGAGGATATTGTGAGATAACAAAGGCAGGAGATGCTCTTGTTGAAGTTGACACGGTCATTGGAGTGGCCGCAATTATCAACCGCTACAAAATCATCTACTTCGTTGTAATCAGTATTTGTATGAAGCTGTTTGACTTCGCGACGCATTTTATCAAATCTTTCAAGAATCTGTTGTCACGAACTTCTATAAGATTTAACGAGCTTTTATTAAAATAAAAAGGTTTTTAATTGACAAAAAGTTTTGTTTGAGCACTTGCCTCGTAATGAAGTTATTAATTCTGAAAATGAGATTGTATCGTTATTATGCCTTTTGCTTTTATTAACCTTTACGTTTGACATGAATTATCTTGGGTTTTTTTTTTATTACTTTACTAAAATCGGAGAAATTGAGGTTTTAAAAAACAAATTCTATACTGAAAAAAAATTTTATTTTTGTTATATTGATTTTTTCGACCATCAATTTGTGATTTAAAAGGAAAAAACAAAAAAAAAAAAAAAACGAGGAAAAAAGAAAACGGTGGGTAGGTAATAATAATATTAAGTTAGAATTGTCATTATTACTATTGAAATCCGATTATGATTTTATAATAACGAATGATGCGAGAAATAATTGGTGCAAAAGTCATCTTTCCGTAAGACCATCCGTAATTAGATTCATTTGGTTTGAGATTTTTATTAGTTTATGATTTTTTAATTTTAAATGATTTTTGTTAAGCAGGCTTCTTTGACCGAAAAAACCGAATCAAAAATCACGAGAAATCTGTCATCTACCGTAACACGATGACAATAAAGAAAAATGTTTAAATTGTAAGAATTTACATAAGGATTCTTGTTTATGTACTTGATGTTGTCACAAGACGCCAAAATACATCTGAGATTTCTTATCAAGAAAGAAACGCGAAAATCTATTAAAATTGATGTACAGATAAATTTAATTTACTCTTAAATAACAAAGAATACCAGATTAGTATTAGAATTTACGCGAAACGACGTTCAGAACCTCCTATATGTTCCATTAAAGTGTTCTTTAAAAACAAAAATTCTAACTTGTTGTTTTTGTTGATAGATGATCCAAGGGTTAAACAAAAAAAAAAAAAAAAAAATTTAAAAGTAATCATATATGTTAACGATAAAATCAATGAATTAAGTAATTCACGCCGAATCATGTTATTGTGATTTTTTTTTTTTCACACTAAAGTCGTACCGACTTATTTGTAATTGTTACAATTTTACAATTTGAAAGTTACATTATGTATGATTAATATAAAAGTAAGTATGATAATACTTTTACGGTAATTAAAAAAATTTCTTTATCGTTCGTTTTAAGTTAATGCATATACGAAATTTATAAGCTCCTTATTTTTTAAATGATTGTGGTGACAATAAAGAATGATTTACAACATTTTGAACCAATTTTGGTATGCCATTTTTTTTCCTTTTTTTAAAGAGATGTGAAACTTGTGATCTCGTGTTTCTCTCCCCTTTTTTTCGATTTAATTCACTCATTTTATATTGACGCGTAAAAATATTTTATCTCGTATTTTATCACGTGATAATCTTATATCTTTATTATTTTTTATCATGATTAAAAGATTCCATACAATAGAAAACTATATGAAAGCAAAAACATTGATTTGGCACATATTTTAATAAACGAATTATTAAATTGACGATATATTATCGGTTCACAGCAAATTCCATTTAAACATAAAAAAACATACTAAAACATTACATGACATACAGTATTTATAATAACATCGATCGGATCGATTTAAAAAAATAAAAATTAAAAACTTTTACATGACATAAAGAAAATTCGATAAAACATCGAAAGGTTAAACATAATTCATAAATTCATAATCAAATCTTAAGTCACGAGAATTCACGTGAAATTACAGAAATAAGTTCTTTGAGACCTTGGATTAAATAAACTGTTCGTCTTCTTGCGTGGGCCAAAAGACAAAATTATAATTATCGATATTAAAAGAATCGCTTTCGAATTGAATGATGGCAGAGTTAATCGGCATGTCATTCACGACCGTTGTAACATTCCGTTGAATTAACTCCAATTCTGGGTTTAATTGAGGCAATTCAAACTGTTGATTATTTTCCATAACGCGAGATGAAGGAACGATGAGTTGGTTATTATTATTATTATCATTATTATAATTGTCATGTTGAAACGCGAGCTGAGATAAAGCGTTATATTGGGGTGAAAAATCATAATGAATTCCTTGTCTTTGTTGAAAATGCTGATTAAGGTTGGCATCGGTAAACCAGGCGTCTGCCGACAAAGTTGGTGGTTGTTGCGGCAAGTAAGGAATTGAAGAACCTTGAACTTGATAGGGGGACTCTAAATAAACTGGTCTTTGCATAAGACTTTCTTGAGTTTTGAAAGATTCTTCAATCTTTCTCTTGCGCTGATCAACCAAATGTTTTTCAACCTCACGAGAAATTTTTTTATAAGCGTCCTTAACCTCCTTGGAGGCCGCTTTCCAAGATAATCCGGCCATTGAGGATACATCACGCATTTTAAGATTGTAATTACAAATTTGCAAATAATTGACAAAGGCTTTCCTATAGATAAAGAAGGCATTTGGGCTTTTCGTCGAAACCCTTTCAGAAGATCTTCTGTCAAGGACATCTTGCGCGGTGATAATTGGAGGAAAAGGGAGGGTGATAATTTGGGTAGCAGGAGATTTATCCTTGGAATCCTTTGACATGTTTATCATGAAACGAGAGAAAACAAAGAATAACGAGGGATGATTTGATTCTTTTTATTTTTTTTTTTTTTTACCGTAAGTTTTTTTTTTTTTTTTTTTTAAAAAAAAATAATAAGAAGAAAAAAAAAAACAAAGAAAAACAAATGAAGTTTAGGTAGAATTAACAGTCCACCTCGATTTTTTGGGAAAGCGATAAAATTCTCACATCCTTTTTATAGATGCATTTTGGAACGACCAGGCACTCTTAATAAAATATTTAGAATAAGAAATTTTTTTTTTTTTTATCATTGATTATCATGAATCGCATATAATTAAATTTTCGAAAATAAATGAATGACACCAACAACAGCAAAAAAAGAATAGATTATGTAGACGAATTTGGAAAGATTTCGGAATGTATGATTCATTTCCGAAAGTGTGTTGTAATATATAAGTGTATAAACACGTATTTTTGTATTGTGTTCAAACCAATCATTTGATGACTTATACATTGATGATAAAATAGAACAAATGAAAATAAATCTTGCACGTTAATAAAGTTTTTATGTGCGACGTCATTGAAACTTTAGGTCCAAAGGCTTAGCTTTATCATGGAGTACAAACACCTCTTAAATAATGCATCCGTGCCAAAAACGATAAACAAATTATCCAAATTTATCGGGACAGATTTTTCGAATTCATCTACAATTTATAATAATAAAATGATGAAATCCGATTATGTAAATGAAAAAAAAAGGGCATTAACGTAAATAGAGTTTGCCAACCGATTCGATGATTTTGCATTTAAATAATGCATAAACAATGATTAGTCAGGACACGATTTATTACACAGTGAGAGTAAAAGGATTTTTGGAATCTTTAAGGATTCAATGTTTTGTGCTGTTTTTCAAATTTGGTCATATTCCTTAAACGATAGGAGACAATTAATACATAGGTCGTGTGATGCACAAAAATGGGAAAAAGTACGGATGCTTGTTCGTTCCAATCTGAAATCCATTTCTTGGTTTGGGATATTTCCTTTGAAACATGACAAAGGAGACGGAATCTAATCTCCCTCATCTCAATCCGTTGGCCTTTTATAGTGAATTACAAATGCGGTTTGATATTACGTTTATTTAATATTCGTCATTAGAACATCATTTTTTTTTTTTTTTCCGCGTAAATATGAATCATTGTGCGCGATACTTTCTTAGATAAGCAGATTCTCGGGATTTTATTGGTTAATTTGATCGTAGATCTTTCGAAAATTTCCGCAAACCCAACGCTAAACCTAAAATGTAAAATCATTTTATCTTATAATACATTGTATGTTTCTACTTTTTTGTAATTTTAATATTAAATCTGTGTTTCGTAAACCAATACCACAGAAAAGTCTTTGTGATTTCGGAGGAATTCAGAAAAAATTATTCCATGTTTGCTAGTTTTAGTTACCATTTTAGAAAAATAAAAAGATCAATCTTTCCAAATAATGCACGGATCGGAGGAATTCAGAAAAAATTAACCATGTTTGCTAGTTTTAGTTAACCATTCCATTTTATAAAATCTAAAAAGATCTATTTTTCCAAATAATGCACGGAATTTAATTATCGTACATTATTTGTTGCGGTAGATCATAAATAGCAAACAAGTTTTTTGGAATAAAACGTTTACAAATGCAAATTCAAAAGATTACAAATCAAATTATATCAGATTTCAAATTAAAAAAAAAACCATTGTAATATTGAAGACTCATGATATCACATGATTCGGATGTTAAGGCAAAATAAAAAAGGCTTTTTATTCAAAAAAAAAAACAACACTTTGATCTCCAAAATAATAACACTATAACGGATCTTGATACATATGGGTGGTCCTTTGAAATAGAAAGAGGGAAACTGTCGGGCGAATAATAAATAGGATGATGAACTTATCAAGGTCTGAAAAAATCATATTTGGAATATAAAATAATAAAATTTGATTTTTTACCTCCCTTTTTATTGCAAAGGGTCTTTCAGGAAAAGCTAAATCAAAACTTTTGGCCGGGTCCATTTAAATTCACATCATTTAATTAGGTGTCATATGGGATGAATGTTTGGATTCTGAGAAATTTTTGGACCAACATTAAGACCTTAATGCATTACAACAAAAATTAAAAAATTCTCCAGAACCTGATCCTTCCCCAACATAGCGTGTATATACACACTCTCTCTCGTAAAGAGGAAAATTAATCGACATCACTAGATAATTCTAATACATTATAAAGAAAGAAAGTAAACAATGATAGTATTTAAATAATGCTAATTGAGTTTGATAAATCTTCAAATGTTCATCCCCATTTTGATCTTCGTTGAGGTACA